CCCCCCCCTCCACCCCACCCCCCAAACTGGCTGAAAACATCTCCAAACCCTCCTGCCCCTTACTTTAAACCTGTGCCTCCTCCCCAACTCATTCCCACCTCCTCCCGAACACCCCACCCGTCATCGATCCCTCCACCAGGGAGGGGTTGGGAGGGACGGAGGAGGTGTCTATCCTCTCTCCCCACTTCATCATTTTATCCGTCTCCATTAGATACAGGGCCAGAAGCAGGCCATTCGGCCCAACAAGTCCGCTCCAACATTTGATCATGGCTGATATGTTTCTTGACCCCACTCTCTCCAAAACCCTTGACCCCCTTTACCAATCAAGAGTCTCTTTGACTGTATTGAAGACACTCAATGACTTGCCCTCCACAGCCCTCTGCAGCAATAAGACCCACAGATTCTCCACGCTCTGCCTGAAGAAATTCCTCCTCATCTCAGTTCGAAAGGGTCGTCCCCTCACTCTGAGGCGGTCTGCTCAGGTCCCAGTCTCTCCCACTCGTGGAAACATCTCCACATCCAGTCTATCCAGGCGTCCCAGTATTCTGTAAGTTTCAATCAGGTCTGCCCCTCCCCACCCTTCTAAACTCCCATCAAGCCAGACCAAGAGTCCTCAACCACTCCTCATATGATAAGCTCTTCATCCCCAGGATCATTCTTGTAAACCTCTTCTGCACCCCCTCCAAGGCCAGCACATCCTTCCTTAGAAACGGGGCCCAAAACCGTTCGTAATATTCCAAACGTGATCTAGACCAGATCCTTACACAGTCCCAGCAGTACATCCCTGTTCCTCTAACTCTCTCTAAATGAGTGTCGACATTGCATTTGGCTTCCTAACCACCGACTGAGCCTGCATGTTAACCTTAAGAGATTCCTGAACCAGGACGCCCAAGTCCCTTTGTGCTTCAGATTTCCGAAGCCTTTTCCCCATTTAGAAAATAGTCCAAGCCTCTATTCTTCCTATCAGAGTGCGTAACCTCTTTCCCTCATTGTATTTCATCTGCCCCTTCACTGCCCACCCTCCCAGCCTGTCCAAGTCCTTCTGCAGCCTCCCTGCTTCCTCAACCCTGCCTGTCCCTCCACCTAGCTTTGTGTTGCCTGCAAACTTGGCAATGTTGCCCTCAGTTCCTTTGTCCAGATCATTAGCGTATAATGTGATCCCAAGACTTATCCATGCAGAATTCCACTCGTCACAGGCTACTATCCTGAAATAGACCACTTTAACCGTACTCCCTGCCTTCTGCCAGACATCCAATCCTCTATCTGTGTCCAGTACCTTGCCCCTAACACCATGGGTTCTTACCTTATCCAGCAGCCTCCTTTGCAGCACTTTGTCAAAAACCTTTTGGAAATCCAAATAGATCATGTCCACTGGCTCTCCCTTGTCTAACTTGCTTGTTACCTCCTCACAGAATTCTAACAGGTTTGTCAGGCATAACCTCCTTTAATGAAGCTGCACTGACTCTGCCCTATTTTACTGTGCACTTGCAAGTGCTCTAATGGACTCTAAAATCTCACCAACAGCTGAGGTCAGGGTAACCTCGGCCTATAACAGTTTCTCGTCTTCTGCCTCCCTCAAACCAGGGTGTGACTTTCTCCGTTTTCCAGACCTCTGGGACCCTCCCTGACTCCAGAGATTCCTGAAAGATCACTACCAACACCTCCACAATCTCCTTCAGAACCCTGGGGTTTAATCTCTCTGGTTCCAGGTGATTTATCCATCTTCAGCTTCCCCAACACCTTCTCTTTAGTGATGGCCACTACACTCACCTCCTGCCCCCCTGACTCTCTCCAAGTTCTGGTTTGCTGCTGGTGTCTTCCACTGTGATGCAAAATACCAATTCAGTTCCTCTGCCATTTCTTTGTTCCTCATTAGCACTTCTCCAGCCTCATTTTCCAGTGGTCCATTGTCCAATGCCTCTCTCTTCCCTTTTATATATCTAAAAGCAAAACTCTTGCAATCTTCTTTTATATCACTAGCTAGCTTACCCTCATATTTCATCCTCTCCCTCCCACCTTACTGCTTTTTTAGTTATCCTCTACTAGTTTTTAAATGATTCCCAATCCTCTGGCTTCCCACTAATTTTCACCAATTGCATGTCTTTTATTTCACTGTCCTTGACTTCCCTCATCAGCCATGGTTGCCTCATCCTCTCCTTGGTACATTTTTTCTTCATTAGGATGAAGATGTGCTGTGCCCCCAAAAACTCCTGCCATTGCTGCGCCATCATTTTACCTGCCAGGCTTCCCTTCCAATCAACTCTGACCAGCTCCTACTTCATGCCTTTGAAGTTACCTTTCCTCAATTGTAACACCATTACATTTGATTCCAGCTTCTCCATCTTAAACTGCAAAGTGAATTCCATCATATCATAGACACGGCCCCCCCTACAGGTTCCTTCACCTTAAGCTGACTAATCAAGCCTGCATCATTACACATCACCAAATCCAGAACCCTTGTGGGCTCTGCCACAAGATGCTCCAAAATAAAATCTCTCAGCCATTCCACAAACTGCTCGTCTCGAATCCATTACCAAGCGGATTTTCCCAGTCCGCTTGCATAGAGACATACAGCATGGAAACAGACCCTTCGGCCCAACCAGTCCATATCGAACATAATCCCAAACTAAACTAGTCCCACCTGCCTGCTCCTGGCCCATATCCCTCCAAACCTTTCCTGTTCATGTACTTATTTCAAATGTCTTTTAAACGTTGTAACTGTACCCACACCCACCACTTTTGTTCCACACGCAAACCACCTTCTGTGTAAAAAAATTTTCCCCTCATGTCTTTTTTAAATCTCTCTCCCCCAACGTTAAAAATTTGCGCCCCTTGGCTTGAAATCCCCCATCCTAGGGAACAGAAAGCTACCATTAACCTTATCCACGCCCCTCATAATTTTATAAACTCATATAAGGTCACCCCTCAGCCTCCGACGCTCCAGGGAAAATAGCCCCAGCCTCTCCCTGTCGCTCAAACCCTCCAACTCAGGCAACATCCTTATAAATCTTTTCGAAACCCTTTCAAATTTCACACCATCCTTCCTATAGCAGGGAGACCAGAATTTAACGCAGTATTCCAAAAGTGGCCTAACCAATGTCCTGTACAGCTGCAACATGAGCCTCCCAACTCCTGTACTCAATGCACTGACCAATAAAGGCAAGATCTCTTTGTAACGTTAGATAACCTTTTTTACTGTCCACTATACCAACAATGTTGGTTCCTCGAATCTACCCCTGCAGTTTCTAAACCTTTCGACTCTATATCACGTTTTGCTATCGATTTAATTTCATTTCTTACAAGCCAACCCTGCCACCTCTGCCTATGCCTTTGACAGGACCTGTATCCTTGCATATTTAGTTCCCAGATTGAATTGCAACTGTGTCTGTGATACCCAGAGCATCGTACCTGCCAATTTTAATCTGAACTGGAACCTCATTGTTTCAGGTACCGCGTGCCTTCAGGTCCAATACCCTTGGCCTTGCATTGACTGTTCACCTTCTCGTCATTGTCCCCGGTAACTTGCAGAGCCTGAAGTTCGATCCCTGCCTCATTCCACACTTTCTCCGTCCTATTACTGGGCCCAGCAGCCCCGCTGAGCCCCCTCCGCCTTTAAATTCTCCACAAGTTCCCACGCTTCCCCCATCTGCCGCAGAGGCGTGCGACGCAGGGTTGGAGAGAGGACCCTTCGGCCCGCTGACTCTGCTCCAGTCCAAAGCCAACCGCACTCACCTGCCATTCATGAAGATGTCATAGAAGAAGCCATATTCCGTGGGGGGTCCGCGGCACAGCAAGCCCCCATACAGATGCTCCATGGCAGCACCAAGCAGGTGGGCACTGGAATGCCAATATACCTGTGGCAAAGGAGGAGGAGAGGGTGTTTATAAGGAAAAGGAGGGAGGGAGGGTGATGCTGGAAGGTCACCAGAGCGAGAGCGCTGGGCAGCGATCGGGCTGCCTGTGCCCAGTCACGTCCCCCTACAACCTTCGCTGCTGCCGTGTCATTTCTATCCCATTGGCCCTCGTAGCTCTGACCCTCCGGGACCAGGCAACATCCTGGTAAATCTGCTCTGCACCCTCTCTAGCACAATCGCACCCTCCCTATAACATAGTGACCGGGAATCGGTAGAAAGCAACCATTAATCTGTTGACGCACTTAGCTTTTAAGAAATGGCAGAGAAACAAAAAGGGGGGCTGATACTCTACAACTATGCAACTTGAACTCTACCCCTTTACACATGCATACACAGACATGTGTATGTACACATACATGCACACACACACACGCACGCGCTCGCGCGCGCACACACACACGTTCGCTCGCTCGCGCACGCACGCACACACACGCGCGCACACACACACACACGTTCGCTCGCACACACACACACACACAAACACACGCATGTACGTTCAGGCCGTTCTCTCCCTACTGCAGATCCTTCACCAACATCATCCAACCCCTCACCCCCACACGGTACAAACTATTAAACCCCTTGAGTTTCTGCTTTAACCCCTTACTCACCGCTTTAGCTGCCTCATTGTCGAACTCCAGGAGCTCCACGGACGAGTCGGCCTCCAGGGGGCGCAGGAGGTCCCAGAGCTCGCCGTTAACCCGGGCAACGATGGCACTCTCCGACAGGCCACAGCTGACCACCCCGAACCCAACAAGAACAAGAATACCAGAGTGAGGGGGAGGGCAATTAAATCCTTTACCTGCTGGCATGACAAGGCAGCTTCAAACCAGGCGGCACAGCCATTTGGCCCTGCGCTAGTTCTATGGAGGACCTATCCCTTTCAGAGCTATGGCTCTGCTGCAGCAAGGGGGCAGTGTTCACCACTCAGAGTGAGAGGCAAGGGGGCTCGAGTCCCA